ACTGCTTCATTGCTCTGCACTTTTTTTTTCTGCACAGTGGCTGATTTGTAGTTACTACCATCAAAAGTTTTCGTATTTTTTCGGATTTCCCATTCATTTCCTATGGGCGGTCATTTTTGACAACGAAGGAGCACAAGTGTGACTATTTCTTTTACGACCCTTTAACATATCCGAATCATGTCCATGATTTTTTTTTTGTGTGTTCACATTGCTAATACAACAAAAGTCACCAAGTGTCACCCCATTCCGATAAACCAAATAAATGCAATAATTCAAAACGTAAAAGTTTTCGGTCATTTTAGACCGAAGAGGACCAGAGGGATACACTTATTGACTACAGGGGGACTTTAAATCTTGATGAAGGCGGGTCTCCGGGAATGGGACTGGGAACCATTGATTTAGTGGGTTTAAATATGGTGTTCACTCCCGAAACTTGGTCAATTGTGTGTGTAGCTACATGTACCTCATGCCTATCTTCACCACAGGTTAACTTAGCAGATATGTAATTGCATTTCCTCTGTGTGGAGGCAGTTTCCCTGTGTTACTAAGATAAGGTTAAAGTTCCCTCAGGGGGGACGATTAGGGCTGAAAGTGAACAGGAAAAGGAAATGCTGAGGATGAGGCATGACTTCAGGCTGAAGTGTGAGCAGAACACAGCAGATAAACGCTTGCACTCTCTCGGTCTAATCTAACATCGGCTCTCACGACACACATCCTGAGGCCTGGGCACATTAAAGGAGAAAGGCATGACATGAGGTGAGGTTTCACAGCCCACATGAGAAGGTTCCTGCACTTAACTCTCTGATGCTCTCTTTACTTGTGTTTTTTTTTTTTTTTTTTTTTACTTCATCGGAATGGTACGAAACTTGGTAAAGGTTTTAGCACTCTCTATGTGAACACACAAAAAAATTTGAAAAAAAAAAAATCACACTTGTGCTCCTCGCAGTAAAAAATTACGGCATTAGAAATGAATGGGAGATGAATTTGATCTAGTGGAGACGTGTGGTACTGCGGCCAAAACTAAATCTGACTGAAAGCTCATTTTTTGAGATATCAACCTCAAATTTGGAAGACAACTTGTTTAGATTTATGGCTTTGATTTTCTTGCAGTTTTAGAGTAAAAGGTGTTTTTGAAAATATATAGTATAAAGTATTCCTGTGCATTTTTCATAACAATGAAAGTAAAATTCTCAAACTTTTTTAAAGTTTTTTTTTAAGTTTTTTTTTTTTTTTTTACTTCAGCAATAATCTGCCAAAGGTCGTCTTTGAAAAGAGATCAAACTTAAGGCTGTGGACAGCATTCAAGATTTACGACAGTTTAAGTTGGAAATTAAATTTTCAGGTCTATGCTCGAAAAGTGAATAAAAGGATTATAAATATAGCATAAAAAAATAATTAAGTACCTAAAAATGCAAAATATTGAATAAAAATATTGAACTAAAATATAGTACATTCATTTCATTGAAAAAAAGAAGTAATGTTTGACCGAGACGCAAGGGTTAAATGCCAATTAATTTTTAACACGTGTGTTATTAATTTTTTTTTTTTTTGCATAATTTTATTTTATTTTCAGTGACCTTGGTTTTGAACTTCCGAAACCCGTTTAACACACTTTAACGTGTTTTAGTCTATTCAGACCCGAGTAATCTCACATGTCCCTGCTAGAAAAGATCTTAGCAATGTCTCAAACTGTGCTCAAATTTGCCAAGACATCATGTCACATTATTTTGCAGTCTTGTTCCGCATGTACATACTATGCATTTATTATAGTAATTACAATAACTGTGTAATTAGGCACTAACCCTGAACCTACCCCTCAACCTAACTTTAACCCTTGTAGTTACCTTATATTACCAGTACTTTTTTAAGGTAAGCACACGTACGGTAAAATGCAACCAAGTTTCAATACGAATGAATCAAATTCTTCCAAGATCAAATTATTGGAGCTTATTGCTGATTGGAACATCTGAGCCAAAGTTAAATTCTTGATGACAGATAATAACTAAAAAAAGCAAATGCTTTTTCGTCATGCTTTGAAGTGCACTTATTTTATTGAGTTGATGAACATATATAAAGCACTATACTTTTAACTGTAGCGTGTTATTTGATATTACATTTTAAGTTAACAGTGTTGGGTAAGTTAATCTAAAAAGTAATGAATTACTGGATACTAATTACATATTCAACAGTGTAATTAGATTACTGTACTAATTATTCTCTCAATATAAAGTATTGCATTACTAATCACTTTCTAAATCCCATTTCAATCTCGACCAGGTACAACAAAACAAGGATAGACATGAAACGGCTCTTTTAATTCTTTCAAATAAGTAATATAAAATTGCATAAATTATTCTTGCACTGACCAAAGTGTGTAAAGGGAGAAAGGTTACAATAAAAACATACATTTTAACATTAGACGTTACTATTGTTTTATTATACAGTTGTTCTACATACAGTTTTTAATGCAATTAAATCAGAAATTACTGTATTTAAATTACCAAAAATCGAAGAGTTACTTTTTCAAATAAGGAAAAGTAATTACATAACAGTTGTTAATTACTTAGTAATGAGCTACACCCAACACTGAAAGTTATTTTAAATGTACTAAACTGCAACTGTCATTACAAACGTGTAATAACAAATATATTTAAATACATGACATACATCTTTCAGCAGAAATAACATTAAAGAATATTTATATTATATTAAAGAATATTTCCATAAACGCTTGCCATTCTGCAGCTCATTTTTAGATATACGCATATATACAGTATATATATATATATATATATATATATATATATATATATATATATATATAATATATATATATATATATATTAGGGGTGTAACGATATTTGAACCGAACCGAAAAACCGCGATACACCACCCACGATACGTATCGCGATACTCTCATGGCGAACCGAACAGGCCCCGCCCCCTGCTGCCCCGCCCAGCCCCGGCTCATTGCACCTCATGTGTTATGTGTACACAACGAATATACAGGGCTGTTGCCTAACCACCATTAACCACATATAATCGCAATAAGCTGAGTGTTTTGTTACTTTTGATAATAAGCAAGGTGTAATCTGTCAAATTATGTCTATTTGATCACGAAATGCAAACAATAAATGCCGTTTTGGCGCTCTTAGATGTGGCGTGACAGATATCACTGTATGCATGCGGCAGCGCGGAGCGCGATCATCTCTTCCTCAGTTACAGAATAAACATGAATGGACACCCGAAGGTATGTTGAAAGATACAGTATACTTACTGAAAGGCATCATAACTCGTGTAAACACTCAATCAGTGTTTCAACAGCGGAAATACGTCAATAAAACGCTTAGTTTTTCACATAGCTTTATATTTACCTCAGGCAAGTCATTCAGTGTCCACAGCTTGCTGGTTTGCTAACTCTTTCACTAAATAAATGCTATATATTAGCCTATATATTATATTTTACTTAACCTGTTCATGATATCTTGATTATTTAATGTATGTTTAAAATAGTTGTCATGAAAATAACAGCAACTGTGTAAATTATTATATAACAATAACAAATTAGAGTAAAAACATGTTAATGCAAAAATTGCCTTATTTGCAGTTTACATGTTTTCATACAATTTGTTATTTGAGTGTTGATTATTATTATATCATTTAGGCTAAAAGTCTAGGCTCTGTTGTTAAGCTTTAATGTTATAGTAATGTGCAAGTAAGGGCTGTAGTTTACAGCATTAGCAGATAATTTTGTTATCCTTGAGAAACGTTTACTTGTAATTGAATTAATTTAAAGACAAGGACACAATTTGTTCATTAAAGCACGGTTTAATAAAAAATAAAAGCAATTTTAGCTTTCTAAACCCCCCCATCCCACCGAAATGAACCGAACCGAACCGAACCGAGACCTCGAAACCGTGGGACGAACCGAACTGTCAGGTTTGTGTATCGTTACACCCCTAATATATATATATATATATATATATATATATATAATTATGAAATTACATATAAAGATGTAGTAATTGAGTGGGTCAGAAACACTCTAAAGTTCAACTAATTGCAATTGAATATAAATTTAAACTATTAGCCTAAACATTTTCATCGAATTGCAATTCACATGCAATTATTTTCAGAAAACGTTACATGTAAGTAGGCCTAGTAATAATCCATAATAAGTGCTCTTTTTAAAAGTGAACGAGGGCAGACAGCTTTACTCCTCCACTCCTCCAGTTTAAGATCTGATTACTGTGTAACTTTTCCAGGGCACTTGTGAGCATGACAGTCAGGGGAACGGTCACGCTGTATTGTGCTCCTCTCTAACAGAACGGCTTGTTTCCCGTAAACCTGGACAGTTTGTGCTGTTCACCGTCAAATCTTTGAGTTTTTCAAGCTTTCTTGCTTACGTTGCTTGAGTTTGTTTTGCTTAATATCGTAGCTGACGCTAACAACGTCCAAGCTGAGTCACAGTGTTTGCCGAAGCACATGCCGAAGTTTAGCACAGTTAGGAGAAAGATAATATGTAATCTCTGATTGTGTGTCAGTGTACTGAACAGTGGGGGATGTTCTTCATTTGCAAAAAACAATATCAAAACTAGGTCAGCTGTAACTCTTTACCGACATTTGATACTTTCATTCGCCTAAACCTGTCCAGCATTAAACGGCATAAGATCTGATTTCATGCCCTATTGGAAAGGAAAATCCCAAATGACATGTCATTAATATCTCGATTGTCCCTCATAGATGGAGACTTGGACGAAGACTCCTGTCTCATATAGTTTCGTTTTTTCCTGAGAATCAGGAAACATGTCTCACATGTCTCCTGTAAAGTTTCAGAAGAAATCTCCACAATGTTTTAGAGATTTTCCTATTCAATTGTACCAAGACTAAACTCTATGATCTGCATTCATTTCCGAAGCCTTAGGTTTGTAGGAGAAAACACTGGACCTGAGGCACTTAATGCAAGTACGAAAGCTTGGATGAATGGGATTTTTCCTCACCATGTCAGTACGAGATTCCTGATAAACCCTCATTTTGCAGCAGAGAGGAACCTTCCGGTACAGGATCAACAGCAGCACCACGATCATGAAGAAAAACACCAGACAGCAGACTGGAGAAACACCACAGACACCGAACACGTCAACCGCCTGAGCTTTCCGAAACACTGGGGCTGCTTTTTCTGTTTTAAAACTCATCCGTTAAAATGTACATTTTTAGATTCGTAAACATTAAAGATGGGCACAATTTATGCAATTTAAAACATGTAAGCATAAAGCATGAGTCTTTACAATCTTGGCAAACATAATTTCTGCATAATAAAGTGTTTTAAGGTCTCATGTTATATATATATACATACACACACACACACACACACACACACACACACATGGTTAAAGTGAGCTGCAGAATGACAAGCGGTTATGGTAAACCGAAATATTATTTAATGTAATTTCTGCTGAAAGATGTCATTAAATATATTTTTAATTTCACGTTTGTAATGACAGTTGCAGTTTAGTACATTTAAAATATATTAACTTTCAGTGTTGGGTGTAACTCATTACTAAGTAATTAATTACTGTAATTTAATTACTTTTCCTTATTTGAAAAAGTAAAGTACGGGATTACTCTGATTTTTTGTTGTTGTAATTCTATTACAGTTACTTGATTTAATTGCATTAAATACTGTATATAGAACAATTGTATCTAAAAAAACAATAGTATCAGAATGTAACGTCTAATGTTAAAATGTATGTTTTTATTGTAACCTCCTTCCTTTACACACTTTGGTCAGTTCAAGAATAATTCATGCAATTTTACATTATTTATCTGAAAGAATTAAAAGAGCCATTTCGTGTCTATAGGCCTACTTATTTTGTTCAACTGGTCGAGATTGAAATGCGTTTAGAAAGTAATTAGAAATCCAAGACTTTTATAGAAAGGGTAATTAATACAGTAATCTAATTACACTGTTGAAGATGTAATTAGTATCTAGTAATTCATTACTTTTACAGCTTACCCAACACTGAACACTGTAAACCTTTAAGATATTTTACTGTAATTTATGGTCTCAGCCATATACAAATAGAAAATACTACTTTTTCCAAGAAATTTTGCGACATCATCAGCCCAATTAAGACATTTAACATTGATAAATACAGTATTTATATGGATATTAGCACATCTGAGGATGATACTCTGACTCACATGCGCCCACGACGACTGTCCGCTGGTCCGCCGAGAGGCTCGAGGTGGAGGCGACAGTTGGAGACACAGTGCTGGACATCTCTGACAACAAATACAACTCTTCTAACAAGCTTTCTCATAGCAAGTCCTCTTTCTTTCTTCCCAGCTTCATCTTCAGACACGAGAGGACTTCAGCTGAGTGAACTGAACTGGTCAGTCACGACTCACATCCTAGTGCTCGCGAAGCCGCGGCAGCGGATACATTGTTGCCATCGGTGAATGGACGGAGAATCCTACTATGGCGAAGCCGTGGCTCTTGAATACTAATGAAGCTCGTGACTGGACGCTGCCGGGATGTCGCTAAGCAACGGTTGCAAGGACTAATTAATATTCATGAGCTGATCCTTCACCGTAGTAGGATTCGTTCATTTCGGGTAAGGTGGATGTGAAATAGACAAAAATAAAGTTGTGAATTGTGTTTATGTCCTAGCTTAGGAATACAGACATTAACGTTATCTTAAAAAAATAAAAGAATAATTAAAAGAATAATTAATTATATGCCATACTCAGTCTCTTCCGTATCGCTCAAATAGACAAGCTGAAACATTCCTTGAACGTTTACAGGTTGTCTTGGAGATAAGCAGGACTTAGCGCTGAGCGCCACCTAACGTTAGCAAACAACTTCTGCGTGTTTTTAAACTGCTACAGAGAGCTAGCAGTATTACGTTCATTGATTCATCTCTCTCATACGAATGTTTTAATTCTTCGGAAATTACCATTTAATATAACTACATGATACTTAACTATTTGATTATTATGATGACAGGATACGTTCGTAAAAACATTAACAGTATATTTGAAATCAGTTCATAAACAATCCATCGTGAATTTGTGAATCGTACACTTTTATTTATAATATTTTCACAGCCACCTCGGCATCTCCTCTCTGAACATGGATTCAGATCAGTCTGATTCAGTTGAATGAGAATCATTTGGTTAGAAGACTCTGAACCGCGAAGCTTTCTCAACGGTCATTGACCGGTTCAAAGTCTGATTCACTGAGTCGACTCCCTCCAGTTTGCGACTCGCGCCTAACATGATTCGCTTCTGTGTGCGATTCACGGGAAAGATGGTCGCGAGCACCCGTGTACAGAAGCTCCTTAGACGGTATAAACTCGCGATCGCGGCCGGTTTAACGATCCTGCTGATCCAGGGGCTGGTGGTATGGAGCCTGCGGAGTCTGGAGGAGGGAGAGGCGGAGGTAAGGTGCTGTTTCATGCGGGTAAATCTGTCCTCCGTGTCTCAGTTACGCCGTTTGATCTGAAGGTTTATGATAGCATGCTAAGCTAAGCCAAACCCGTCACTCCATTCTCATTAACGTTAGATGAACTGTTATTCCAATAATAGCGATACCGAGTGTAAACAAGCGCGTTTATTGCATTACCTGAAAAAGTCGTAGTGTATGAAACAAGTTGTTATGGTCAAGTGTTGTGTAGGGCAGGTCTGTTAGAGTGGTTTGTTTTGACCGGCGTCGGGTTTTAAATGACTGGACTGACTTCACCCATAACAACTCTATGGTTGTGTAGAAACTTAGTGATATGTCTACGTAGGCAGCATTTTTGGTCATCTTAGGCCACATACATTGACCGCATTTTTAGACATCATGCTCTTATATTCCTGCCTTTATGCTCAGGATTTTTGGGCTTCAATGTATGAGACTCTAGTGAGCCTCCTACCTTTTAAACTGCAACCCTTTGGCCATCTGTAGGGCTAGTCCCTCCCTAGACAGCACTTTTTTTTAACACCGCAGGTCACTGACTTTGATTCCCAAAAATGCTGACTACACTCCCAAAAATAAGAGTCCCAAAAGGGTTGTTTCGCAGCGATGACAGAAGAACCGTTTTTGGTTTCCCAAAAAAAAAACCTTTTAATGAACTGTTCTTAAAAGAACCATTTTTTTTAAAATCTAAAATCTAAAGAACTTTTTTTCCCACAAAGAATCTTTTATGGAATGAAAAGATTCCAGGGATATTAAAGCTTCTTCATGGAACGATCAGTGGCAATAAAGAACCTTTATTTTTTAAAGTTGCCATTAACTGAAGTTTTAATTAGCCTTTTCTATTGGATTAGCTATTTTCTATTTCTGATTGGATGGTTGTGGTTTGCTATTGGCTGATCTCATGTGAGTGACAGGTTGCCCCGCCCTCCTGCCGGTAAACATCATCAGAGAAGAGATGAGCTGCAAGAGGGAGGGAAACTTATTCTAATTAAAAATTGAGGCACATCATGTCATGAATTAAAAAAAAATATGTGCATGGAAAAATCACTTAAGATAAATACTGCAATATTCCTTAAAAAAAAAAAACCAAGATTTGTCAATTTTGAGAATGCGTAGATGTCGCTTACTGTGTTTTGGTATGGTCTAGTGAGGTCTAATAGCATTTTTGGGCATCATAGTCTTAAAACCGATAGTGAACTACCTTTCTAGACTCAAAATGCTGCTCGCAAGGAATGTGCCTGTGTGGCCCAAATCCGATTTTGTGCATATTTGTGACTCGGGTCTGTTTTTGTCATGACCGTGTGAACGGCACAAACCACATGATGGAATCTGATCTTTTCAATTCCCATCTGTGCCACCTCCATATGTGGGACGAAATCCGATACAGGCCAGATCTTTTGCAATGCCACCTCAGTCTGAAGAACAGTGAAATCATAATTCATACTATCTCTAGATCAACATTCATAACAATTCTGCGCTCATGGGTGTCATTTCAAAGATATTAATATATACCCGACGCTATCAAGACGAGTAGTGAAAGCCAGTGATGATGTGTCAGCACTCAGAAGTATTATAGTGACAGCTCTATACAAGCAAAACACGAGGGCTCGTATCATAAATGTTTAAAACCGCTGACCTTGATCTATTCACACTGGAATCTGATATCGGCCACATTCGGATCTTATAAATGAGCGCTAAAGCTAAGGCTTTGTAAACTGCTGTTAACTAAATGATCATGTGTGACCGTTTTGCTGCTCTCGGATGACTGCAGCTAATAATGTGGTGTAGAGTGTAAACATCCAAGCGGATCAAACCCCAGCAGGGGGGTTCAGGAATGATAATCATTGTGCTCTTGGTCAAAACACAACCTCAGGTTAGTCCAGGATGACTGATCCTGTAATAAATTAACTGTAACTGTAAGTAAACTTGAAAGAATCCTGCATAGCTAATTAGTAAATGTTTAACTGTCTGCTGTTCAATGGCTCTAGAGTAATATGTGAATAGATTTGGGAAAGGAGGTTACGAGTTGTGACGAGTATCAGGAATGTGTCCGGATTCCTGCTCCATCTGCACTTCACTGTCAACCTGCAGTTGAATAGATTCCCTACATGGTCAATGAATGTATTGAGCAAAAAAGTTCTTCAGTAGTCAAAAGTAAACTGAGGGTACGTTTACATGACAACGATCTGCTTAAAACGGAGAAGTTTTTGTTTTTCCTTTGAGTTTTCCGCGTACAGACGACACCATTGTCAAAGCAAACCCCATTCACGCGGATCCGCGAAAACGACTGAAAACGCTGTATTCTGCTGCCAGGCCAGTAGATGGCGATGAAACGCTATAGACTGAACACGTAATATGTACATGGATTCATCGTCTTCGAGATTCGCATTTTTGTTGTTTACACGGAGACCGTTTTCAAAAACTTGCTCTTTGAAACCCGTTTTCAAAAGTTTGCGTTTTCAGGCACCCAAAACGCCGTTGTCGTGTAAACGAGCGGCCAAAACCCATAAAAAGTTTTACGTTTTTAGTTGAAAACGGCGTCGTGTAAACAGCCCCTCAGTATGTGTATTTTTCAGAAAAAGTGTTCCATCGTTCACATGTTTGGGGTCAATATGTTATAGAATCGCAATAATACTGAATCGTGGCCCAAATATCGCAATACTATCGAATCGTCACATTTTTGCCAATTCCCACCCCTAATCGTTCACATGTTTGGTGTCAGTAAGACCTTTAATGATTTTGAAAGTCTCTTCTTCTCACCAAGGCTGCATTTATTTGATCGAAAAGTACGGTAAAAACAGTAACTGCTTTCTATTTTAATATGGTGGCAAAGATCCTTCAGAAATCACTCTAATATGCTGATTTGCTGTAAAGTACATACACAGCTGAAATGTCATACACTTGTTTGTTCACATTGAGTCGACGGTTTGAACATTCATGTTGGCTATAATAAGGTCATATGATATTCAATCTCACATTAAATTCTTTTAACATTAAATAAAGCACATCATTAGGTGCGATTATCAGTCATACTTTGTGCTGTTCCAGCTGTGATTTGCAGAAATAGAAACCGTTTCTTAAATAGGTTAGGACAAAAACCCTGATTCACAAGGAAAAGATATCTTTACCAGAAACATACCATCTGGTTAGATGCATTTTAATCAGGATTCTTTGATGAATAGGAAGTTTTACTGTCACTTTTGATCTGTTGAATGTGTCTTAAGACGCTGAATAAAAGTATAACTACTTTTTTTTTTAAATCTGACCCCAAACTTCTGAACAGTAGTTTTTATAGGTTAAACATTAAATGTCCTTTACTGATAGTATTGACTTTTTTTGGTTAATAATTTCATCCATTTTAGCGACTAGATAACATTACCTTTTAATGGCTGCTCAATATATTGACAAGGCCAATAGCGGGCCACGTTGAGATGCTTACATGTGCACAAGGCTAGGAAATTTGGTTTAAAGATGTGTTTGAGATGAGAGTGGACTGTATGAAGGGTGTGCTGCCACCCTGAGAAGCTCCCAAAGTTTCTGTCATGGGATGTTTCACATGTTTGCGAGAATGCTTTGCTGCAGCCTTTCTCCTAATTGGCCCTTATGGGAATGCAACCTACCATGTGTCTCTTATACTGCCACAATACTGCTTGCTGTAGTAGCCCTGGAGGTGCTGGACACCTACTGCAGATATTACAGCCATCCTGTTGCAGTACGAATCAGTATTCTCTGATTCATTCAGGAACAATGTAGATGTAGGAATCAGCCTGCTAAATTTAAAGCTCACAACAGGATTTAAGCCCAAACTATACTTCAGTTTTGACGTGAACGTTCACTGACGCGGTACTACCGGTTCTGTAGAAAGGCTTGTATTGTCACATGTTTTTCAATTTAAGCATTGACTTGGTACCAAAAGTGTGAGAGCTGAATCATGATTTTTTTGTTTCAGACAGAGATTGTGATTCTCCCACGATTCTGAACGGACAACTAAACAAAATAACATTTAATTTACTAGAGGTTCTGACAGTGTTAACTGCTGCAGTCTATTTAAAATGTTTAATTAATCGGAATTAATTATTAATTCAAACTGTATAAAAAACAGTTTGAATTAATGATTCAATGATCACTTTATTCAGTCAATCAATCAATCACTTAATGTATAAAGCACAATTAAACACAACTTCCGTTGACCAATGTGCTGTACAGAGTAAAAAAAAAAAAAAAAATTAACAGAATAAAAAATAAACAAGGACAACTTCATCAACATTCATATTTTGTAAGACAGATCAAATAAAAATGTTTTTAACCTAGCTTTAAAAATGGACAGAGTGGACGCAGCTCTAATTTCAGTAGGCCGATTGGTCCAAAGTCTTGGGGCAGCAATGGAAAATGCTCGATCTCCTCTAGTCTTAAGCCTGGATCTAGGAGCCACTAAAGCCCCTTTCACACAGAGATTCTGGAAAATACACTGATAAAGTGACTTGACCCGGGTTCATTTGATTTTGCTTCATTCACACTGCCAGTGATTTGCCGGAATCAGAGAGCGCGTTCACACCCAACCCGTGTATGTTCCGGAAAGACGCGTGACGTTGGATGTGACGGGTCTCTACTTCAGTCCAGTTTGCAGACATTTTTTCGTTCTTTCTTGTATCGATGACGAACACAAACTTTCTTCTAGAGTAACTGAGCCGCACGATAACTACGTCATTGCAAAGGCTCGTGAATCCTAACTACGACACACCCCTTATACGGCATTGGTTCTGGCTTTTGTTCACACAGCGCGCGTTCCGGGTCTGAACACGGCAATGTTACTAGGTCCCCAACCCGGGATCGATCCCGGCACCAGTCCCGGGTCGTGTTTGCGTTCACACAGAAGGCACTCTGGCAATTTGCCGGGTTCAAAGCGCTGTGTGAAAGGGGCTTAAGAGACCTAAGTTTGCAGACCTAAGAGAGTTCTTGCAGGTTGATGGACTGTCAGCAGA